ATCGTTCTGCTGATTAAAAAGAAAGACGCCAATGGCTACTCTTTAGAAACTGCAAATCTGAGAGTGAATGACCTTGTACCTTGTATTTGCCCTGCTCAACAAGGATCTGGAGGGTGAATGTTTGGCCTTGGGGGAAGGGAGATTCATATTTGCGCTCCTCTGAGCCCCAGCACCTGCTCTGGAAGGTGTTGTGCACTACATACCCAGAGCTCTCATAGCGTGGGTTAAAGTGCAGAGCAATATCAGCCCCAGAATGAGAACCACACTGAAGGTTCACATGAAATCTGCAGGACAAAAAGGAATGAGAAAGGAATGGGTAACAAGATAACATTTCATCTCTGATCTGATATGTTCTAAAATAGTTGCAAGGCTCACGAAGTGACACCTGAATTGGTAAATAATTATTTAAAAGTTAAAATTGTACTACTAAAAAAACCCACCAAGAGCACTTTTGCAGCGTAGGTTAAAGGAAAACAGCATACCGTGGTTGCTCAACACTCTTTGAAAATGAGAACAAAACTCTTTCATGTTCTTGAAAACTATCATTAAACATTATTGCTCACCTGTTAGCCCCTGGTAAAACCCGTCCGCTTAAGATAATGCTCTTCCCGTCCTGCAGGCCTCCCTGGATTTGGCCACTGAATGGGATTCTCTGTGTTGATGTAAATAGTAATATGACACATAAGTACTCACCTAGTGCACAGTCTGCATCTGCCCTGAGGAGCTAATACACAATAATGTGAATAAATTATTAAAATGGCTTGTTTAATATAGAAATTGAAGCGTTGATGCTATATGGAGAGCAGAGCTAGACTTCACACGCCAGTAGAGAAGAGCACACAAATGTGTGTGGTTTCAAACACCTAGTCATTAGATTAGAATAGCCTATGTGAAGTCCTCCAAACTTAAACTTCAATATCACCTCGGGGCACGTTGTCACATTTTGTAAATATATATTTTTTGACGTTTGTAGTTTTGTAAATATTTGAGCGTTTCTATTACTCAAGGCATAATCCCAATGTGAAAATGTACGCCGCCACACCGTGTGACAACATGCCCCGCTTCCTCAACGTGCGTACACTAACGAACTCAACCGTTTTACTGAACGGTGAAAATGTTCATTTAGGCTAAAAAAAAAAAATTGGAAAGCAAGGAGAGGAAAAAATAAAAAAAGACACCCCATCCTAGGCTACTTGTTGCATAACGGAGTTTGAATTGTGCATGCAAAACCACACAACGTTAAATAGTGTCACGTTAGTAGCTAACGCAGAAAAGAGGAAGACAAAGAAAATAGCAAATAAAGGAGATATACTGATAAGCCATGGCTTATAATGACGCCATATGATCATTTTTGCAAAAACAAAAACAACAAAAAACAGTCACTTACCGGGTTGTAAAACGGTTGTTGCTGATAAAAAGCCATTCTAGCAGTTCTTACGTCCCTGCACCTTTAAGCGTGTAGTCAAGAGAGAACAAAAAGGAAAGCGAGCAGTTCGAAGAACAGCAAAGATTTAAGAACCACCTACAGATGTCCGGTTTCTGATTAAAACACGTCATGTTTCGATTTCTCCATAAGGCTAGGAACTTGGCCAATGTCCATTGGCTGTACATGGGCTTCTACGTTTTGCTTTTCCTAATGTTGATCAATGTAAACGTTTATTCACTGATCAAACCCAAACTGCTCTGCGAGGAGGAATGATATATAGCCTATAAATAATAGCAATACGTTAGCTACATAAAATAGACACAAGATGGTCATTTTGGGGGAGAAGAGTTAAAACAGATAAGGTCACGACGTGCTAAATATTTATTTTAGGAATATTTGTAGGCTATTAACTCTTACTAACTCTTTATAGCCTACTATTTTCCGGGGAAAGTAATTTTATGGCATACTTTCAGGAAACGTTTTGTCAAACCAGATTACCAGCTGTTTTGTACCATTTTTGTACAACCCAGAGCCATAAGATAATGCTGTGTCAGAGGAAATGTTCAAAGCTGTACAGTAAAAGGAGCAGTCAATATGTGGAATTTCTTTTGTACAGAAAAACAGTTTAACCGTATTTAACCGTAGACAGATGTAAATAATAGGCTACTACAAATACTATAGCCTCAGTACACTGACAAAGGATTTACTGGATTTTCAATGGAACATTTCTTTCTGATACATAAAACTCCTGGAAGTATGTTAAACAACACAACATTAACAACTAAGGGTATGTTTGGTTTTGAACAGGGTGAATTTGCGGGAAATGTCTGGCAAATTACTAAAGTACTCAATTAAAGACAAAATGCAATTTCTGATTTCAAATATGAAAAACATTTTACAGATTGTATATATATGTAATATGTATAACTGTAGTGGATAAGATTCGAAGTAGCCTAGAATAGATTGATCAGTTGATTATATACCCCTGGTTTCACAGACTAGGCTTAAATCTAGTCCCAGAGTAAAATGCATGTTTGAGCTGTCTCAACTAAAAATATCTTGCTCTGACATATCTTAAAATAGGTCAGTGCCATTGTTCGGTCTCAAGATATACAGCTGTAATGGGTATTTTTTTTCTAAGGCTTTTAAAATATATATCTTAATTTAACTAAGGCCTAGACCTGGTTTAAGCTTAGCCCTGGCTGTGAAACCAGACTATAATTTATTTTGCAACACTGCAAAAAGAATGTTATATACACGACATTCCCAATCATAGTTATTAATGTTGTGCACTGCTGTTTGAGCTGCGTGCGCTGAGCTAAAGATGATCACCGGTAAACTGAAGCGCTCTTTTAACTTAACCAAATGCATTCTATATGAGATAAATCAGATATACATCAAATAAACACAATATTACAATGTACAATTGCACAAAAGGCTGCAAACGAACAGCGCGCATCTGAAGTGTCTCTGAAGGAAATAATGAATTATTTATCGGCTTTAAGATATCGGCCAAATTTTCTTATCAGGCCGATACCGATAACAGAAAAAATGAGCATTTATCGGCCGATACCGATATGGTGGCCGATATATCGTGCATCCCTAAAAAACACTGTCTCACTCTCTTTCATGAAATGGAAAAAAATATTTCAAATGTTTCATTTGTTTATTTCTGCCAGGATAAAATTACATTGTGTTTACAGACAAGTGGCTATAAGCGTTACAAAAATATGAATTCATAATTACATAACATTAAAACCACAAACTCATTCTAGAAATGTACAATTTGTGTTCGACACACTTTGTATATAAAGAGCTGTACAACAGGAGTAAAGTACCCATTCAAAATTTTTCGATGTACAAATAATATAAGAAATCTTAGCTGTACAATAAATAAAACAATAGTTCTCTATTCAAATTCCTTTAAGTTGTCATGGGAACAGTCACTGCCATCTTCACCATCCTCTCATTGTTCATAACACCACAAATAAACCACTCAAAACTCTGCATGCTTACTCTCACACACTTTCTCTCTCACACCCCCACAAATTAAAACAAGAGGTATTAGATATTAAAAGTTCCTGAACATCATCCTGCTGGGTCAAAATATTTTTCATTCTTTATGATATTACAAATACCTCATCAGGATCCTTATTTTTGAGGCTCTTTATTCATCCTGGAAAGGCTCAGTAAGTCAGATTAGCATCCGGTAAATTATTATTCATTTAAATCTTAATTTCGAGCAAATACATGGAATATGGAAGTCACTTTTTTTTTTTTTTTTTTTTTTTTTAAAGAGTACAGGAGAAAGTTTGTGGACTGTAAAAGCTGAAGGTCTGTCCTATAAAAAGAGCAATGGAAATCACATTCCATTCATCTGACGGCACATGAGGAATTTGAAACGGCAAAACGTGGCAAAGTCTGCTAGCTCAATAAATCTGCTGAAAGCCTATCAGCATATTTTCAATTTACAAAGTTTAGCTGAAATGGCTTTGCTCAGTGTTAGAACAGGCAAAAGTTTCAAAAAGATGGGACTACTATAAGAAAAAGCATCACAAAGGTGAACATTTTTAAACATTTGTAAGACACTCAATTACTCAGTTGTTTTCTTTGAATGCAGTAGCCATGCTAATGTTAACAGCAACTGTGGACAAACCCTCGTATTTGTAGACATAGGGACAACGAGAGCGGAGGCCTGGACTGCAGTGCTCACGCAGGCAGTGGTGATGCCATGCACTGAACATTCAGCCAATCAGAGAACAGAAGGAAGGAAAATACAGAGGAGAAAATAAAGTGACATGTGAAATATGAAGATTTGGAAGAGGTTGGTGGCAAGAAGAAAGGTTGAGACATCAAGATGGAGACAGGAACGGCAGATGACAGAGAGGGGACCACAAGTTTGTCCCATTCCCAGTGCGGAGAGAAACCCACAAGAAAAACAGCAGAGACAACATACACAAATATAAAAAATCATTTTATATTATATAATGTATTACATTATATAATTATTGTCATTAATATTATTTTAATTATTATCTTAACCACAGTCTAACCATCGTTTTAAACGTAAAAGGTGAATTACTGACCACAGGCCAGATATTTGGGCATATAAACATATTCAAAGTGTAACAAGTTAAATCAATAAGCACCTTCCCTCTGAACCACTCCTATTATCTGCTTCTATATAGTAAATAATAAACGATAAATCACACAAATCTTCACACATCTGCAAACCAGACCAATCATTCACATAACGGTCAAAAGCGTTGGTAGCAGAAAAACACTTTTTCATAACTGTCACTTATTGTTATTTTCCGCACCATATGATATCAGGTTTGTACGGAGCCCCACACATGACATGCAAGAAAAAATAAATAAATCGTGCGCACGATTTACTAATTTGTTCCCTCGATGTACTAAAACGTGCACACGATTATCATTTCGTTCCCTCAATTTGTTAAACTATGCGCACAATTTACTAATTCGTTCTCTCGATTTATAAATCGTGTAAAACATAATTTAAACATAATTTAGCAAATCGAGGGAACGAATTAGCAAATTGAGAGAACGAAATAGTAAATCATGCACACGATTTAGCCTACAATTTTTTTCCTGCATGCCATGTGCGGGGCTCCGTAGGTTTGACCAAATATATAATGGTTGAATCCATGCACAGCATCCTTCTGACTCTCGTTACACTAAAAATCCAATGGTGTAAAATTAAGTAGGCTCAGAATAGAGACAAAAAACAATACACAGGTCGGCTCCAAACGATCAGTTAGTTTTCATGCTCCCTAAACTACACCCCCAAAAAAGGGGGATCCACAGCATGCTAGCTTTCCAGACTAGGATACATACTCCTCAGACTTCCAGAAGTGCCCGGGGTGTGAGAGTCTGCGATTGAGCTTCGGCAACTTCTCTAGTAAGTCTGACAGCTGAGTGAATGTGGGTCTGTCCTCAACCTTATAGGACCAGCAGGCTGACAAGATCTCCTGCAGTGCGAATACAATGACCATGTTAATATTATTTTGTGTGTGTATATATATATATTTTTTTATATATATATATATATATCTATATATATATATATATATATATATATATACAGTATATATACCAGGGCTGGACTTACCGTAACCTCCTTGCCCAAGCTTGTACCCTTCTGGGTCAGTAACGTTCTGATGCCTTCTCCATTTCCCAGCTGATAGATCAAAACTTCAGTCGGTTGGTTAACGATAGGCCATTCTTTAGCCTGGAGTTCATACCAGATAGTGCTGAGACAGAAACATTTAAAGATTTCAACTGATCAACTTCAGTGTTGGTTTGCAAAATATTGTAACTTGATTTTGATCAAGCCTTTACAATGAAGGACCAATCGGATTTTTTAAAGCAGAAATGAAACTTTAACACCAAAACCAAATGTTTGCATTAGAGGCCCTGTATATGTGATGCAGATATGGGAAAAGAGATGTGGTTTTTACCCAAATGCATAAACATCAGCAGCTTTTGAAAAGGGCAAACAGTCTTGGTTTCCTGGTCCCATCTTTTGCACGACCTCTGGAGCCAGGTAATAGATCCACCCTCGTGGAAGCTTCAGTTCATTTTCCCGCCTATAAACAAACACATACGATAATGAAGTTCTTAATAAAGCATACTGTATAACAAGACCATTTTAGTTTTATACCACTGGAGTAAATGACATACACCCTACCTGTCCTCCTGGACCACTCCAGACATCCCAAACAGACCGAAATCGGTGATGACCACTTTGTTTGAATCGTAAAAAACATTCTTAGATTTTAAATCTTTGTGCACAATTCCCTTTGCATGGAGGTAACCCATTCCCTGTAAAAGGTAAAAGACACAAAACAAAACCGTTGTTAATGTGATTTGAGTTAAAGAAGCAAAATTGATGATATAATGGTCAGATTGTTTTGCTGCTTTACAGTTATTACATTTTGATGAAAGGCTACAAAGACATTTTTTGGATAATAACATGCACTGATAAATCATTCAAAATAAAGCCAAGAACATGTATTATATGTGATGCTTCCTACCTTCACAATTTCCTGAGCGATTTGTCTTATCTTGTTGATGTCAAGTTTAGAATCCCTGACAACCGAGTAGAGCGTCCGTCCTTTACAAAAGCTGCGGCAGTACCATAATACATAAATACAAGAACATAAATACATTACAATCAAAACGCAAATGCTCCTATATATTATCACATACTACACGTTCAAAACATACACACTACCATTCAAAGGTTCGGAGTAAGTTTTTCAATGTCTCTAATGTCTAAATGTCCCTAATGGTCACCAAGGCTGCATTTATTTGATAAAAAATACAGTAAAAACAGTAATATTGTGAAATATTACACTTTAAAATAACTTTTCGGTTTTAATATACTTTAAAATGCAATTCATTTCTGTAATGAGAAAGCTGAATTTTTTAGTCTTCAGTGTTACATAATCCTTCAGAAATCATTCTAAAATGCTTATTTAGTGCTCAGGAAACATTTATGATTATTTCCAGCTCTGCTGCTTAATATTTTTGTGGAAACAATGATACATTTTATTCAGGATGGTGAATAGAAAGAACAGCATTTATTTAAAACAGAAATCTTTTGTAACATTATAAATGTCTTCACTGTCACTTTTGATGAATTAAATGCATCCTTGCTGAATACAAATATTAATTTCTTTACATGAATGACACAACATTGAGAGAGCTGAGAGAGGCGAACCTGGTGATAATGGCCAGATGAGGCGGGTTCATGCAGGCCCCCATAAACAGCACGACGTTCTCGTGTCGCGTTTGCCGGTAGTTCATCACCTCCTTCTTGAACAGCTTTAGGTGCTCCTGGTTGTTACCATCAATCTCTAACAAGCGAACGGCCACCTCTCCATGCCAGCGGCCCCTGCACACCTTCCCCCAGCGGCCTTTACCGATCAGCTCTCCGAGCTCCAGCTGCTCGAAAGGCACATCCCACTCCTGCAGGTAAACGCTGGTCTGGCTGGCCTTACGGCTTATGTGGTCCTTCCAGTAGCCCCTGCAGTTGGGCAGGTCATCCACTTCATCGCCTTCACTTTCATCGTCCGAACCTTCCTGATCCTGACCGTCGTTCCCTTGCTGCTCCTCATCCTGAATGAGAAGAATAATAACCAATGTATTCAATTCTAGGGCTAAATGTATATTTCATATTCACATAATCCTAAATCAGTTTTGATTTTGTACAATTCAAAATTTAGATGCAAGTTAAATTCAGTATTGTCTTTTAGTGGTCAGGGTCACTACCTAACACCACTGACCCCACAAAATCATGTGACCACCACGATAAACTGGAAACGTTGCCCACAAATACTTTCAGTTCCTAGTAGCTCTGTGGTTGGACATGTTTCTTGCGGCACTCACCACAGCTTCCCTTTGGCCTGTTGACAACTGGTTGACATTACCACCCAACTGATCTGTTTCTCTGCATGGAAGAGAGGACATACTAAACTTAGTGGTCATTTACTAATCACTTTTAAATAGTTATCAGAACTATGTATGATATACAGTATGATCTAGACCATTTACCTAAGGATAGTCTAAATTCTGTCATTTACTCAGCATTATGCTATTCTGAAGCCATGTGATTTTTAATATAGATCACAAATAAAGGAAATACCGCAGAACGTATCACGGTTTGATGACAACTTGACAGTCCAGTTTGAATTAAATGATATTTGAGGTAGTGTTATTTTAGTATTATATATTTAGTATATATAGTATTATATATTTAGTATATATATATATATATATATATATATATATATATATTAGGGCTGTCAGTTTAACGCGTTAACTTAATTAGTTATGAAAAATAATAACGCGATTAAAATATTTTAACGCAGTTAACGCACAGGCCCCGCCCCCCAGACCTGCTGTTTGAGTGCAAATGTGATTTTACACAACAGTTCAATAAATAATAAGTTAATATTGTGTTGTATTTTAAACACAACTGTTTTTGTTCAGTTTTGCCAACAAAGAATATTACCTATAAAGCCACAGCAGAATTGTGCTTCTGTGAGCAACACAGCAGTGTTTAGTTTCTGAATGAATCCGCGTTTTGAACGAACCGTGTGAACCAATGATTCAAAGGCACATTCATAAAGTGAGCCGTTTACTGAATTCCTGAATGAATCAGCCTTTGAAGAATCAATTCATAAAGACATTTACCGCCACCTGCTGGCAGTTTTAGTTTCTTATTTAGGGTATTATTTCATTAAAAAAGGGTGGGAAAAAGGAATAGTTCACCCCAAAAAATGTAATTATGTCATCATTTACTCAAACCTGAATGATTTAGCCTACTTTCTTTTGTGTAACATAAAAGAAGGTATTTTGAAGCTGTTTTGGTTACCAATGACTTCCATTGCATGAACGAAAAAAAACTTAGCTGTTTCTCAAATTATCTTCTTTTATATTCCATAGATTATGCTTGGCCATGGTAGCCTAAACGTTTAAGTGCAATACATTTTATGTTGAATCTAAAATATTTCTTTCTAAAGCTACTATTTATAATGTGTACTTAATACTTTCTCATTTAACACAAAAATAGCATTAAATAATCTTTTGGGGTTATTTTCACAGACAATTGTAATTTGCGATTAATTAATCGACACATGTAATTAATTAGATAAAAAATGTTAATCGACTGACAGCCCAAATATATACACTACCGCTCAAAAGTTTGGGATCAGTAAGACCTGTAATGTTTTTTAAAGAAGACTCTTATGCTCATCAAAGCTGTATTTATTTGATCAGAAATACAGAAAAAAACAGTAATCTTGCAAAATATTATTACAATATAAAATAATGGTTTCTATTTTAATATACTTCAAAATATAATTTATTTCTGTGATGCAAAGCTGAATTTCCATCAGCCATTACTCCAGTCTAAAGTGTCACATGATCCTTCAGAAATCATTCTAATATTCTGATTTATTATCAGTGCTGGAAACTGTTGTGCTGCTTAATATTTTTTTGGAACCTGTGATTTTCTTTGATGAATAAAAAGTTAAAAAGAAGAGCATTTATTTAAAATATAAATCTTTTCTAACAATATAGACTACCGTTCAAATGTTTGGGGTTAGTACATTTTTATTTTCTTTTTTTTGAAAGAAATTAAAACTTTTATTCAGCAAGGATGTGTTAAATTGATAAGAAGTAATAGCAAAGATTTATATTGTTAGAAAAGATTTTTATTTTGAATAAATGCTGTTCTTTTTAACTTTTTAAAAGGAAACTTAAAAAAAAAATATTCTAATATTTTGAGATATATACTGGATTTTGGACTTTCATGAGCTGTAAGCTCTAATCATCAAAATTAAAACAAAAACTTTTGAAATGTTTTACTTTACATGTATTAATCAAGAAAATTTTCACTTTTTGTAAGAAGTTACAAAAAAAGAACTTTTTGATGTATCAAATGGCTTTGAGCTACTTTTACATTGCTTTTTTGTCAAAGACATCCTCTTTTGTGTTCCACTGAATAAAATCAAACAAACAGGTTGGGATTAACATAAAGGTGAATAAATAATGGAAAGTATTTGTGTGAACTATCCCTTCAGAGCATCTTTGAAGCATTCATCATGAGTTTGAACTTGCAGGAAAAATTCTACAGAAGTCAGTGCTGCCACAATGGTTCCATATGAACTTAGTGCAACTGATTCATTCAAGATGAGGCAATAACCAAAAATGTGTGCTATTCAGTTAAGAAACATGCAGAGTAATTGTAATGCACCATGAAGAACCAAAACCTATGAAACCTGCATTTCAATTGCCTGGGGTTAAAATATTTCTAAAAATACTGCAGAAACAGCAATCGAAAAGTTTTGTTTTACCCGGTGTTGCAACCTCCATCTGAATGCGAGGAACTGGATACGTCTGCGAGAAAAAAGAGATTCTTGAGTTATACGTGACATTAAACGTTCAGATTCCATGTAAATGTGCACCAAGTAATTCTACTCCACTTAAAGTTTTGAAGTTGAAAGTAGTTGCTGTTCAAAGCTTCCTGATATTTTTTTTAAAAAATTTTTAGGATTCCATGATGAATTGAAAGTCCAAAAAACATCATTTATATATAATATATAATTTTTGGTAACATAATTTATAAATGTCTTTGAATATATATATATATATATATTTTTTTTTTTTATTTATTATTAAATTATTTTATTTTTTACTTAGATTTTTGCACAGTGTATATGCCAAAGTTTAGGGATTTGAGCAATATTAGTAGTGATGCATGCTAATAACTTGGTGCACCTTTAATATAATACAACTAAACAACTGAATAACATATCTTTTTGGTTCTCTATACACAGCACAAGAAGCACACGGAGAATTGAAAGTAGAGACCTGTACTCCCACGGGAGTACCACAGGACCCAATGCAACAGGGTGCAGCGCAGGACAACTCTTGATGGGCGAGTGCGGGTGTGGGCGGGAAGAGACTCGTGTGTGTGCGGGATGCGGGAGAATAAAATGATTCGCGGGACTCCCGCAAAATAGAAATTATCTTAACAAAGTGTCTAAAACATATATATTGTTATTTATGTGATGCACAAAAGCAAAAAAAAACTACTAATAAGATTAAAATGATTAAAGATTCAATTTTTCCTTTCTCTTTGGAGTGTTACAAGCTCTTGGTGCATAAAGAAGATCTGTAAAGTTGCAAAGACTAAAGTCTTAAATCCAAAGAGTTATTCTTTATAAAAGTTAAGTCAACCACGCCTACCTAACACGCCCCCACATGTCTATGTCACAATGTGGTTTGGGTTGCATAACGCGGCCCATGTAAGAAGTTACAAAAAAAGAACTTTTTGATGTATCAAATGGCTTTGAGCTACTTTTACATTGCTTTTTTGTCAAAGACATCCTCTTTTGTGTTCCACTGAATAAAATCAAACAAACAGGTTGGGATTAACATAAAGGTGAATAAATAATGGAAAGTATTTGTGTGAACTATCCCTTCAGAGCATCTTTGAAGCATTCATCATGAGTTTGAACTTGCAGGAAAAATTCTACAGAAGTCAGTGCTGCCACAATGGTTCCATATGAACTTAGTGCAACTGATTCATTCAAGATGAGGCAATAACCAAAAATGTGTGCTATTCAGTTAAGAAACATGCAGAGTAATTGTAATGCACCATGAAGAACCAAAACCTATGAAACCTGCATTTCAATTGCCTGGGGTTAAAATATTTCTAAAAATACTGCAGAAACAGCAATCGAAAAGTTTTGTTTTACCCGGTGTTGCAACCTCCATCTGAATGCGAGGAACTGGATACGTCTGCGAGAAAAAAGAGATTCTTGAGTTATACGTGACATTAAACGTTCAGATTCCATGTAAATGTGCACCAAGTAATTCTACTCCACTTAAAGTTTTGAAGTTGAAAGTAGTTGCTGTTCAAAGCTTCCTGATATTTTTTTTAAAAAATTTTTAGGATTCCATGATGAATTGAAAGTCCAAAAAACATCATTTATATATAATATATAATTTTTGGTAACATAATTTATAAATGTCTTTGAATATATATATATATATTTTTTTTTTTTATTTATTATTAAATTATTTTATTTTTTACTTAGATTTTTGCACAGTGTATATGCCAAAGTTTAGGGATTTGAGCAATATTAGTAGTGATGCATGCTAATAACTTGGTGCACCTTTAATATAATACAACTAAACAACTGAATAACATATCTTTTTGGTTCTCTATACACAGCACAAGAAGCACACGGAGAATTGAAAGTAGAGACCTGTACTCCCACGGGAGTACCACAGGACCCAATGCAACAGGGTGCAGCGCAGGACAACTCTTGATGGGCGAGTGCGGGTGTGGGCGGGAAGAGACTCGTGTGTGTGCGGGATGCGGGAGAATAAAATGATTCGCGGGACTCCCGCAAAATAGAAATTATCTTAACAAAGTGTCTAAAACATATATATTGTTATTTATGTGATGCACAAAAGCAAAAAAAAACTACTAATAAGATTAAAATGATTAAAGAAGTCATATGATGCCATTTCAATTTTTCCTTTCTCTTTGGAGTGTTACAAGCTCTTGGTGCATAAAGAAGATCTGTAAAGTTGCAAAGACTAAAGTCTTAAATCCAAAGAGTTATTCTTTATAAAAGTTAAGTCAACCACGCCTACCTAACACGCCCCCACATGTCTATGTCACAATGTGGGAAGATTTGCATAACGCGGCCCAAATGTTCACGCAAAGAATGAAGGCGTAACTTTTATTCTCGCTGTTACCGCCATGTTGTGGAGACACTGTGTTTCTTGTTGTGAAAACGAAACTACTTTGTTTGGCCTTCCAAAAGAGGATGATATCCGCTTCATCATGCCTGGAGCTGATCTGTGCTGGTCGCTGAGGAAATACATCAACTTTGCGGTGTGGATCACTGGATTGGCTTTCACCGTGGACGAAGCGGAGTGCAGACAGGGGTCATCACATGTGGTTGCCGCAAGCCCTCCGGACGCTCCTTCGTCGAATCCGCCGGCCGGGCCGTTCTGAAGCCCACCGGCCTCCGCTCACTCAAGGCCGTGGTGTGTGACGCTATTTCGTTGTGAAAGCGAAACTACTTTGTTTGGCCTTCCAAAAGAGGACACGACTAGAAATCAGTGGTTAAGTTGTATTTACAACACTGTTCCAGAACAGTTTAACCCAAATATTCAGATGTGTGCAGCGCATTTTATGGAGAACTGTTTCCTGATCCTGGTAGAGTAGACTACAATGCTAGGCAGAGTTTCTATTTATAACACGTGTTTAAAGGGTTGCGCAATGTAGCCAATCACAGACTCAGCTGTTGATTTCTGGAACGCAATGGCCAACCAGAGGTGATTAAGTTAGAATCTACTCACCGCAGTGCTGAAATTGCATGCTCACGAATCATCTCATTTTAACACACGACGTGTAGACATTGTGAAAGATTTATTGTGCATATGTTCATTGTGTTATAACAGAGCTTTATGAGATCGCGATGAACTGAGATGTCAGCTTTTAGTGGTAGCTAATAAAGGAAGCGCTGCTCACATTCTGCCATGCTAAACCATGCACGTAGCAGCGCATGCTTGCTTTTCTGTTAAAAATAACAGTGGTTTGTGAATGTTGATGCTTAGCCTAAATAACAAATATTTTATCGGGAGCATTTGTGCTGGGATGTTGTGGATCTTAGGAGATGTTACAGAACCATTTAATGTAAATTTTTTTGTGATGTGCCGAAAAAAAATCTATATAGATTACTTTTATGCAGGCTTTTGCGGGCGGGAGCGGGACAAAACATGAATGTCACGGGCGGGAGCGGGACCAGATAAGATATTTTTCTGCGGGAGCGGGCGGGCGCGGGACAGAATCTTGTGGGAGCGGGACTGAAAAATCCGTCCTCTACTCTCAGGATAGGGAAACAGAGTTGAGTTGTCTCAAAACGTCAGTGATAACTCAACTAGGAACTCAGGCACCACACCTTAAGATTAAATAACAGAGTTTTGTGGTGTGGAGGATTGTTAACTCACCAGGGAAGACAAACTGTTGTCTATGCTGAAAGTAGTAGGCAGCTATTGAGGGGACAAATAGACAAATGTCCACAAGGAAAAGAGAAAGACCCGGTTAAACAACTTGCTTGTTATGCGTCAGCGAGAGTTACTTAAGCAGATATTAGTAGGTTAGTGTGCATTTATTGAAGAGGTTATTTCTGAGCATTGGAAACAAGAAAGCAGTGCTTAATAATGCTGTGCTACAAAAAGAGTGACATTCTGTAGTGCAGAGGTTTAAATGGGTTTACATGCGGGCGGCAAATAAGATCCCGTGGTATTGGTGTAAACAAGACTAACCTGGGAAGTGAAATCGACTGTCAACGTGACCCTTAGGGGAGGGGTTGGGTGGTGGGGTGGCGTTTGGGGGGTTGCTCTGACCGAAGGGGGCAGGGGAGGAGGGGGTGGAGGAGGTGGTGGAGGAAGGGTTACTGCTGGAGTCCAGGTGACTCAGTGATGGAGGGTGGTCCTGAAGGGAGGACACATATCTTAAAAAACCTTTTCCAAAAAACAACCAAATAAGGTGCAAACATGGATGTTTGAATCAATTAAATTGCCCCTATTATGCCATTTTTAAGGTTGCTAATATTGTTTTATGAGTCTCCTAAAACAGGTTTACATGCATGCAAGGTAAAAAAACACGTTAGTTTTCTCAAAATTTTTTTTTAATTTTACCTCATTTCTAAATGATTCGTAAACGACTCGTGTGAAGAAGTTCAAAGAATCAGTCTCTCTAAACCCCTCCTTTCTGTGAGCCCTCACTGCTGTGATTGGTCAGATGGCGCAGTACTTTGTGATTGGTCCAGAGCCGTAAAGAGAGATTGGCTCTAGATTGGTCTACCGCATACAGCGTGTGTCGGAAACGAAATGCCCATTGCCATGACGGACTGACAGCCCTGGAGACTTGTCAATATATAGAAAAGATGGTATCGATTGTACCGTACCAATTCGAGCCGGAGTCTGATGATGAAACAGTCGAACTGGCTGATCTACAAGAGACTGATTCACAAGCACGACTGGAGCAGGACGTTTCTCAGTGGTAAGTGTCAAGTGTTAACAAGTTTGTGGTAATTATAAGATGTGATAAAACAAATCTACTCTCACAGCGTAGGATACAGCGTCTTCTCGAAATGATGTTAACCACACAGAAATTTTACTGTTTGTGGGCGGGCAAGTTGGCGACGTAGAACGTGGGCGGACATTATGCAAATGTGTTACTTCGTGACGTAGAACTGTAACAGAATAAGATTCAAATTCCTGATGACTCGTTTAGGCGATTGCGAGCCGACTCTTTTTTTTCATAGACAATAACTTTATTTATCGTGCACTGTCGGCTTCACAACTTTGCAGATCATTTATGTTCACATTCAGCTACATGACACACTGCATGAAAGGTAATATTCGAAAAGGCATAATAGGGGCACTTTAAGACATTTTATAAAATAGCATTTCAATGACAAATCTTATAGGTAGTCACTAGCATCATAAAATGAAATTGTAAAAATAAATATAAAGATTGTATTGTATAAAAATTTATTTTTAAAATAAAAAAATATAGGATATAAAAAATGGATGTTTGAAACAAGTATGCCATATTATAAAATAGCATTTCAATAAATCCTATGGGTACTCACAAGCATCACTAAATAAAAGTGCAAAAAATTTTAATTAAATAAAATTTATTTTTCAATTATTTTATTTATATGATATGATTTATTTTTTATTTACTTTATATAATCTTAATAATACTAATAATTTTCCTTACTACTATGTAACATAAAATCTTACAGTATTTTAAAAATCAACTTATTTTTCCCTTAAAATTATTAATTTTCTCAGTTTAAACATTTGATATGTCATCTATGTCGTATTCTGAATAAAATATTGAAATTTGAAACTTCCACATCATTGCATTCTGTTTTTATTCACAATTTGTACAGTGTCCCAACTTTTTTGGAATCGGGTTTGTACATACTTCATTGGCAATCACTAACATCACCAAATGGAATTGCTAAATAAATGAAAAAAATAATTTTCCTAAATTATTATCATTAATACTACAACTACTACTAATAATAATAAATTCCCAAACAAATTATATAGGGTATAAAAATGATATTGTAAACAGTTCAGTTCAGACAAATTATAAAACAGCATTTCAAATCTTATGGGTTGTCACTAACATTACCAAATGGAATTGCAAAATTAAATACATAATTAAAAAATTACAAAAAAAAAAAAAATTAATTAAAATATTATATCATAACTTATCATTTATTCACTTAAAATAATAAGTTAGTATATATAAATTACACACACACACACACACACACAAAGGTTTACATTTGTGAAAAGTGGGGACATCCCATAGGCGTAATGGTTTTTATACTGTCCAGACCGTATATTCTATTGCCCTTTACCAACCCTACCCCTTACAGGAGACTTTGTGCTATTTCAGATTTTCAATACACTCCATTCTGTGTGATTTATAACCCCTTTGAAAGGTGGGGACATGGGGTAATGTCCTGAAAAGTCACCTTCTCCTTGTAATACCTATGTCATACCTTTGTCATTATACAAATGTATGTCCTCATTTGTCACAAAAACGCGTACACACACACACACACATATACACATACACATATATATACAGTGGTGTGAAAAATTGTTGGCCCCCTTCCTGATTTCAAAGTTGATCTTTTTGGAAGGTGTGTGTCCCGTTACATCTGGTGTTTCATAAAAAGAACATCATACCAACAGTCGAACATGGTGGTGGTAGTGTGATGATCTGGGGCTGCTCTGCAGCTTCAGGACCTGGACAACTTGCCATAATTGACGGAACCATGAATTCTGCACTCTATCAGAAAATCCTGAAGGAGAATGTCCGGCCATCAGTTTGTGACCTCAAACTCAAGCGCACATGGGTTATGCTGCAGGGCAATGATCCCAAAAACACCAGCAAGTCCACCTCTGAATGGCTCAAGAAAAACTAAATTAAGGTTTTGGAGTGGCCAAATCAAAGTCCGGACTTAAATCCGATTGAGATGCTTAAACAGTCCATTCATGCTCGAAAACCCTCCAATGTGGCTGAATTAAAACAATTCTGCAAAGAAAAGTGGGCCAAAATTCCTCCACAGCGATGTGAAAGACTCATTACCAGTTATCGCAAACACTTGATTGCAGTTGTTGCTGCAAAGTGTGGCACAACCAGTTATTAGATTTAGGGGGCAATTACTTTTTCACGTAGGGCCAGGCAGGTTTGGACAGCTTTTTTCCCTTAATAAAATAAATAATAATTTAAAAACTGCATTTTGTATTTACTTGCATTATCTTTGTGTAATATTAAAATTTTTTGATAATCAATCTTTTAAGTGTGACAGACATGCAAAAAATTTAAAAAACAGGAAGGGGGCCTACACTTTTTCACACCACTGTATATATATATATATATAT